TATATATATAAAAATTTCTTCTTCTTTGCCTTTGTGAGCGGCGTAGGCCTCTGTGAGGTACTGGCACTCCTGCTGGATGGATCGCTCCAGGGTTTTCTTGCCCAGGCCAAAGTTTCTGAGTGTCTGAAGAGCAAATCTCCTGTGTGTCTTCCATGGATAACCACTGGAACCAACAAGACCTTTTGAAAGCAAAAAAAAACAATGTTACAGTAAAGGTATTTGGGAGTTACTGCATTAACCAACATCTATATGATTTGTTTCTTGTGTACCAAAACTCCACACTGCAGCTTCGGACACAAAAGGTTTACCTTTATTCCCAACCAACTCTTCAAATAGCGGGATGACGGGACGATCTACGAAGTCTTCTCCTTGAAGGATCAGAGCCTCCCTTATTTGCTTGTAGCCACTAACGATGACAGTCCTTTCACCAAAGAGGCGAACGCTGAAAATGTTCCCATATTTTTCTGCCAACTGAGCACAAAGAATGGCCCCAATGACTCAACACAAAGGAAAATGAATTCTCAAAACACTGAGGACACTTTCCTTTTGTGCTCAGTGCCAGCAGTCGACACAATCAGACGGGGAGAAGTGTCCCTGGACTCTAAAAGCTTTAGTTTGGAGGTTTAGTGCCTTCCTAAATTTATGAAGAACCCCTGAACATCTTCCTCCTTTGTTACAGTACAACCCCAAGCTTGAATTTATTTTATTGGAGTTTTAAGTAATAAACCAACATGGCAAACTGAGAAACACAGACCAAATGTTCAACCTCAAACCTAGAGATCTTGCACCAATTATTTTACCGTTATATGTTTTGGCTGGGATAGCTGATGAATGGACAGTGTGAACCTTGCTTTGAAATGGCTAAGTCAAAGTCCAAACCTACACTGGAAATACCTCAAAATGTTCAATTACAGAGGTCAAAAGGTTGTGTGTTAGCTATGTAGGAAATGGCATTAGCTCTTTTAAAGCTCCATTATGTAAATTTTGTAGAAATATCTATTTTTTCACATTTATATAGTGTTGAGACAGTACATGTACGAGAAAAAAAACAGAGCTCCTCTGCCTCCTCTCTATGGATCTGCCGTCTACTGAAATACACTGCTCCATCAGAAACAACACATCAGAAGAAGGAGGAGGGTCTTAGCGCTGTCAATCACCCTCGTGTAAGCATCCCTCCGTCAGTATGGCCACCAGTGACGACAGATACTGGGGCATTTCATCAGACAACAAGAATACCACTTGGAAGAGGTGGAGGAGCCAAGTCCTTTCACAGATCATCTGTCTCATCTTACATTGTCACAACACAGCGACGGTGTTTGCAAATGTGTAAAAAAAAACAACATTATTGTAAAAGTTACACACTGCAGCTTTAACTGCAGTGAAATGTGGCTCAACAAACTACAGACTCCTGGGGTGGGGTCTGAGTAAAACTATGTTGAAGTAGGGCTGCTCTTACTTGAGCACAGTTTATGGATATTTTGCCCACCTCTGATTATACTTTATTTTTCTGAGTCTAACTGCTTGTATTCACAGCATATACATTATTAAACTATTTGACAATCAGACCAAGGTGCTTCATTCGACTATACCTTTACACTAGTTGCTTTCAAATCCGGACCATCGGGGTATTTTAGTTATTTTAATGCAAGAGTTAAAGTTTCATCTAGGAGAAAACACATCGTTCTCAACCAGATAAAACTGAAAATGTTTCAGAGTATTAAACTCTTTGCTTTATGCAACAATACTTTTTTTTTTTTTTTGCATTTCATTGGATACCTTAGAAAACTGCAGGTGCATCCGAGAGAGATCAAGGAGATGAAGATGTCCAACAAAAGGAAGGGGCCAAGGTCCGGGTGGAAAGTTTCTCGGCGCTCTGTTCTTCCAAACGTCGCTCAGCAGCAGAAAAACAAACACAAATATGAGAACGCTGCTGCTATCTATCCAATCCAAGCCCAGGACACGGAAGACGGACTTCATGACTACTCCTTAAACGGCGTCTGATTAAAATGGATCAAGTTTTAATACGCAGGAAGAAAACACTCTGCGTGACGTCACAGAATCACATTGGTACGCTGTTGGCCTTCAAAGTAAAAGCAGTGAGCCCAAGAAAATTGAAAGGAAAAAGAATTGTAAGTCGTAAAAATCATGGAAGCCTAAAATCTCCATCTTGGTGCCATCTCATAAAATATAATGTAACATGTATAATGATTTATTGCCAGTAGTTGCAGCATCATGCTGTGGGAATACGTTTTTTCAATATGGACAGGGAAGCTGGACGGAACTAAGTGCAATCCTGAAGAGGAAAAAAAATTGTATGAACAATTTTGCAGGGAAATGACACCCAGTGAATGTAACAAGGTGAGCAATGTTAACTTAGTCTTTCAGTTGAATTATTGTGTCTAACTGTTGTGGGTATTTATGATGTAGAACAAATTCATTTAGAGATGCCAAACTCACTTTCATTTTGGGCCATATCAAAATTATTTTTATTTGTTTATTATAGAAAAGATTTACAAAAGCTGAGAAAATGAAACATGAACAGAATTTGACGAGAACCAGGAGAAAAGCATACGGGGTAGAACCTTAGCAGGAGCCAAAACGAACAAAGCACAGAACACAGGAAAGAACTAAGAAACCCAAAATAAAAGAATGAACAAACCATGACTGAAATAAATTTAAAAAAATCAACAGCCATTAAAAAAAAAAAAGAATATAAATATACAAAACACCTCCACGAAAACCATGGCAAAAGTGCACTGAAGTTTAAGGTCATAATCATATAATCCTGGTTGGCAACATGATGAAAAGCTCAAGGGTTGTGATCTGTTCTGCATCTGTTTTATTTACTTTTTATTGACTGATTCATGCGCTGTCATTCAGCTTTACTTTTGCCCCACTGACTCGCACTTATCAGTGACATTTCTCCCAGTGGTAGATCATCTTTATCTTATCTCCAAAACTTTTACATTACATCTGAAACTGGAAACACCAGTCTGAATTTCACAACAATTTTTCTCCCAAGCTTATCAGGCGATATGCTGATTTTAAAGACAGAGGTAAAACCAAAGCTTTTTATTTAAGATGAACTTTCCCATAATTGGAAAATGATTGAAGTCAAGTGATTATAGACATTTGTGAATAACGATAAAACATGTTATGATTTCATCACATGCGATCATTTCAAAGCTGTTCGTTTGGTCATTTGTGCCGTCTATTGTATCTTCTCACTTAAACACATTGCAGGCTTCTTTTTAAGGAAGTAAGCATTAAATCAAAAACATTTCACTGTAAAAAAAAGTATTAAATGGACATGAATCACAACCAACAGAAATTAACAGGTTATTGATCTGCTTCCCAACAACAAGGTGCAAAATTTAAGCAAAATGTTCCATAGCAGGATGAAATGTGATTTAGATTAAAATATAGCCATTTAAGTCACACCATTGCTTCCTAGCATCAACAATTTGGACAGCTTTATTTCTACACAATTTGGTATGTTAACTGCTGTAATACCAACAGGTTTTAAGACACGTCTGCCACTGAGATGTTTGATTTCAGAGACAGTCTGATGGGTTTATGTCAACACTTCTGTTGGTTTAGCGTGGAACGGCACAGAGGCGGTAAGGTTTGGGATAATGAGTGGCTCCCAGTTTGAACTCCAGACTGGGCTTCTCTCCTGGAGGTGGTGAGAACTTAAACCTCTGGAGGAGGGAGGTGAAGAAGAGGAACAGCTCCATCCTGGCCAGCTGCTCCCCGAGACACACACGTTTACCTGAGGATAGACAACACAACACCATAGCTACACAACTGTGATGTGGCCACACTTTATTCTGGACTTATCTGTGTCAGCTTCTTATCTACTGTACATAGGAAGAGCACCATTAGTGGCAATTTGTTGGCGCTATTTTATCTTCAACTTAACACCAAACAAGCAAACACAGGAGCACAATCATAACAAAAACACTTTAGTTTTGCTACAAGTTCATTAATTTATGTGTCTGGAACGTCACAATCTCTTTTCTGTCTTTAAAGTAGCACTTCATATTCAAACTAAGCAAAGAAAAATCAAAATCTAGTTATCCTATAACTTTTCAGCTATTAAGTCAAAGAAAACTTGAGCTATTTTTATTGATCGCTGATTGAATTGTTCCTTCTTTTTTTTGAATAAGGACAAATAAATATTATGCAATCAAGCTGAATATCGTTTTACGAAGACTCAAGTAGAAATAAATGAATTTTAACAGACTGAAACTATTACCAACCTGCAGAAAAAGGCATGAAGGCTTCTCTCTTCCTAAATTTACCGTCCTGGTCCAGAAAGTGCTGAGGGTTGAAGGAGTGAGGAGTCTCCCACATGGACTCATCATGGAGGACAGAGTGAAGCGTCGCCATAACCAAGGTTCCCTGGAGATTGAAAAAAGACAAGAGGCTCAGTAAGACATTTATTTCTGCTCAGTTTGTCAGTAGATTTTTATCTGTACCGGGAGTAAAACAAGATAAATAGGAAATAAAGATAAGCAGTCTGCACCCATTTATAACAAACCTGCAGGGAAATTATTAGGTAGTAAAGTTACCCATGTAATACCTAGTATTCAATTCTTGTTGGGTATTTTTATGGCAAAGAAACATTTATAAAAACAATTATGAGTAAATTATGAATGAACAATTCCGTTTAAAGTAATCAGTTGGTTTTTCCTTTAGGGTATTTCTGTGTTCCTCAATGTGTGGGTTTGTCAGGAATAAAGGCTTTGCTGAGAAAATGTTAACGCCCAATCAGTGCTCCTGAGCTGAATACTGTCCACTGTAAATAATGTACCTTTGGAATAGAGTATTTATCCAGGGTGGTGTCTTTGGTCGCCATGCGGGCCACATTCAGTGGAATGATGTTTCCCTTCCTCTGTATCTCGTGGATGACGGCGTCAGTGTAGGGCATGTTCTCTCTGTCGGTCACCGCGGGTTGTCTGGATGGACCGATCACAGCGTCTATCTCAGCCTGGACTCGCTCTGAACATACCGAAAACACAACTAACTTTTGAGTCTGAGCAGTGGGGAAAATTAATGCCTTTCTCTATTTTTATATTCATATTTCAGTCTACTGAGTGTTTCTCACACACCTTGTATCTCAGGGTAGTAGATCATGTACAGCAGCCCCCAGTGCAAAGTGGTGGTAGTGGTTTCTGTACCAGCAAAAAGCAGGTCCAGAGAGCAGGCACACAAATTTAAGATACCAAAACCAGAATCTGTGTCCTCTTTCTGCCAAAGATATGAGAGACAGGAGTGACATTGTGTCTACATACTTACTATATGCATTGTGCTGTTCAAGCTTTTTAATCTGCCTCTGATCTCTTAAGACTTAGTTGCTTTGAAGAGAAACTCAAAAGTACTTCTGAAGACTTTCACGTCCCTGACTGTAATGGTTTATCCTTGCTACAAATGAGAAATGTGGAGGAAAATGTCCCTGTACAATCTAATGACCAAGTTACCTTCAGATGTTAAAAAAAATTATGTATACAATGTTGTGCTCTGAGACACAACATTGTGTCTCAGAGCTCCCCCTCAGACTACAGCTCTGAGGGGGAGCTTTGTGGGAGCAAGAGTTTAGCTGCCACAGAAGATGCAATGATCCCTCAAACGTGCATGTAAGAATTAAAGCAACACTCCATGAAGGTTTTGAGGAGGGAATAACTTTATGACACAAGATGAAGCTAAAAGGTCAATTTTACATAATATCCTCCATTTAAACATGTTAGCTCTTGATGTATAAAGAGTTGTCTGTGTGGCCTCCCGTGCTTAGTGCAGAACTGAAGCAAAAATATAATGTACACTGACATGAGACTACAGGCTATAAACCCAAACGTCCAAAACAGTCACATAAACTTATGTAATTTATTACTGAATTCAACACTTACGTCTCCCATTTCTGCCAGGAAGGAGTCAATGTAGTCTCTCGGTGATGAGGGATCAAAGTTTTCTTTGTGCTCTTTTATACGGATTTCTATAAAGTCAATTATGTTCTGTAGAAGCACAAATATTTTCTTTTGGGGTCCAGGTAGCCACTTCATCACAGAGGGAATCATGTTGTATATCTGAGGATCAAAGAAGATAAATTTTCATCCTTGTTGAAAAACCTTAAGACAAATATTGTTTTGCTGAACATACAGTAAAGTATATCTCCAGCTGCGTTTGGATTGTCGGTCTAACAAATTTTGTTTTGGGACGTTAAAACTATAACTAAACTTCATCTGCATTTGTGTGCAAAGAAGACTTACCTGCACCCACAAACCTTCCTGTAAGCGCAAAATCTCATTCAAGTTCTCAAGGATGGTCTGGTACTGCTTGTCATTGTATTCGTATCGACTCCCGAAGACCAAACAGCAGATGATGTTGGACACGGCGTTGTTGATCAACGCCTGGGCAGAGAAAGGCTTTCCTTTCAAAGAAAAACAGATTACAGACAAAACAGAGTCAAATAAAAAATGCATTAAAAATATGAAAAAAAAAAGATGTATAGCTTGAAATATTGAAATAACTGTAGCAGACATATAATAAAAAAAGAGTGAAGGGCAGCATATTATCTGATAATTTTTTTTTTGTACCTTGTTGATCAGTAAAAATTTCAGTGAGATACTCGCACTCCTGCTGGATGTATCGCTCCATTGTCTTCTTCCCCAGACCAAAGTTCCTCAGCGTATGAAGAGCAAACCTCCTCTGCACTTTCCATGGATTACCGTTTGACATCACAATACCTTTTTAATAAATAAGTAAAAATAAATAAATAAATAGAAGCATGCATTAGCATTCAGGTCAGTGGAGTTCCATCCGTACCAACTCAACATTTTGACACATTTTTAGATAAAATTAATTACAAATTTAATAAACTACACTACACCTTTGTTCTTGAAAATCTGAGAAAACAGTGGAATGGTGGGGCGATCCATGAAGTCCTCTCCTTTTTCAACAAGGGCCTCTTTCACGTGTTTGTACCCGTTAACGATCACAGCTTTTTCCCCAAACAGATGGAGACTGAAAACGTTTCCATATTT